TCGACGAATTATTTGTCTTTAGTATAAAAACTCCAGTGATTGTTCAAAGTGCTCTACTTTTATGGCTGTTTTCCAGATTCTTCAGAATGGTATCTCTAATTTTGTTCTCGATGGAACAGACGAAAAGAAAAGTAACTGGATTCGCTACGTGACTTACGCTCGAGATAAACGGGAACAAAACTTGATAGCCTTTCAGTACCAAGGAGAAATATTCTATCGTACATTTAGAGACGTCTATCCTGGCGAAGAACTGATGGTCTGGTATGAAGATGAATACAGCTGTTCTTTAGATGAACTACCRCAGGAGTTTCCGCAAGATCAGGGTAATTGTTTGAATATTTGTCAATCCAGATATGACTAGACATATATTCATCTATCACATCCGTCCATCCATTCATCTACCTTTTCTAATATCCACCAATCTATTCATCYATCCATCCATCATCCATGCGTGAGTCTGTTCATTCTTAGTCTCTCTTCCTCTATTCAAACCAGTCATCAACTCTTGATTATCGATTTTCCTTTTCTATCTAATAATCATTGATATTTATTCAATCATGAAAATTCATTTGTGTACTGGAAAATATTAGACATTCTGTACTCAAACGTGTATAGTTGTTCAGTTCTTGTAATTGATGGATTTTTTTTCTCTTATGCCTAAGTATTCTAACGATCTGCGAGACTTCTTCATGAGTTATGAGTTATTAACCCCTCTCTTATTTTACTTCAGACTTTTCTTTTATTATAATTTATTTAGTTAAACCATCAGMGTATTCMCCCCCCCCCCCCCCCCCCTTGCAAATGTACAAATAATAACACGTTTTAAAACAAAGTACCAAAAAAAGAGTAGGTATATAGGATGTTAGGGTGTTTTTTTCTAAGAGCAATGATTTAATTTCCTCATCATGTCTAGTCATCTAGTGCTGATATACCTTTTTTTTTACTCCAGTGCCCGAGTTTGCCTGTCAGCGTTGTCGATTGGTATTCGCAGGAACAACATATATTTACAAGCACCACAAGTTCCGGTGCCCCGGTGGTCCTTTAGCTTGCACATACGGTGCTCGCACTACAGGACTTGTTGGCGCCTTGTTCCGCTTACCTGTCGCGATTGCAAACGACACTTGGTCGAGTCCAGTCCCCAGCAACAATGATTACAAGCCTCGATCTGATGARTCACACCATTCAAGACGAAAAAGAAAACCCAGGAAGCTTCCTCGTCCATCCGATAACGAGGAAGCTTGGAACCCAGAACAGCCTTTTGGTCCTCCACCAATCGCGGAACTGAACCATAACGAGACTGACTCAAACCAAAATAGAACAACCATGGTGATGTTGCCACCAGAAGCCAAGGCCTTTGATGCGCATCCAGATTTTATCATAAATAATGAAGAGGCTATAGAACCTGAAGATTATGCTTATGAGAACTATTTAAGAAGATTGAACACCAAAGATAGTATTACTGATTATCAAGAAAAACGACCACGGCTAGATGGCGAGACGTGTGTAGATGAAGAAGACTCCAAATAYCCATATCGTTGTAACGAGTGTGGGAAATCATTTGCACGTCCAGTATGGTGGGCCAAGCACGAGTCACGCTGTCGCAAGAAATATGCGAAAATTAAAGATAATGCTAATCATAGTACCGGCACATCCATCGTCGTGGAAAGCCTTTCTTCTACCATTGATCAGATCAGCAATACAAAACAGGTTAAACCAAGAAAAGAGCCCTACAAATGTGGATACTGCGACAAGAAATTCGCTTGTCCTTCTTGGATGAGAAGGCATGAAAAAGTCCATACTAAAAACTTAAAGACAAAGAGCATAGCAACTGCTCACAGGAAGCCAGGAAATGAAGACCCACCRCATCCSTACGAGTGCGTCGACTGTGGCAGAACATTTGCTGTTGCAGCTTGGCTCACACGTCACCGAGCAACTATTCATCCAAACAGCAAAGCACAAACTACTAAACCGAGGCTGCAACCCCGGRGACACGTGTGTAGGGATTGTGGTAGAGGATTCGCAGTAGCTGCCTGGCTTACCCGTCACAGAATGACTGCTCACAAGAATAATGTTTCCAAGAAACATTTCTGTGGTATATGTGGCAGATCCTTTGCGGTAGCCTTCTGGCTGACGAGACATCTGAAAATCCATGAGGGCTCTGAGCARAAGAATGCTGATACTTTGGGTGTGAAATCCAAACCAATCAACCCTGTTGTGTCCATTAAGTCAAAGAAGCCGATGACCTTACCTTGGGTTTGTGGACAATGTGGCCTTAGCTTTAGGTTTGAATCATGGCTTAAAAGACACCAGAAAAATAACAAACATACCAATGGGTTTTACCAAATACCTAAAGCCGAAGATATAGACCAGTTATTGGTGTGTGAGCGTGAAGGATGTGGAAAGTCATTCAAGACCAGGAGACTACTGGGCCGGCACAGGCGAAGACATCTTAAGAAGGATAAAGCAAATGATGTGACTGAATCTTYGAGGCAACTTTCAGCACCAACAGCACCTCCTTTTATCTGTCAATATYCCAACTGTGGAAAATCCTACTCAACTAAACGAATGTTGACGAGACACATGCAGAATCACGTTAAGTCAGAGGAATCAATGGTGGTTGACGTAGATGCCGTTGTTGATTCCTCTGAGTGTCAGTTTYGTAAGAAAGTTTTCAGTACGAAGGACTTGCTGAATAGACACATCAAACGAATGCACGGCAAGGCGCTTTCAGCCTTAGGAGGAGRTGAGAGTAAAGCCGTATTAGCAGACATGGAGACCAAAAGCGTAGCTAAATCTGGTAGTAAATCTGCTCACACATGTAAATTCTGCCACAAAGTGTTCTCATATCCATTACTGTTGCAAAGACATTTGAAACGACATASAAAGAACGAACAGACTCGAAAGAACCTCACCAAGGCACTAAATATTCCCCAAGACGCGGCCTCACCGGGAGTCGAGAAACAAAGTTACGTCTGTGAAATCTGCAATGTATCATTTAAGRGTCTGCACATATTGAACAAGCACATGGAAAAACACCTCGGGGAAAAAAGGTCTTCACAAGAAAAGGCTTCAACAAAGACTGCTAAACCCGACCCGGAACATCCATATCAGTGTGACCAGTGCGAGCGAAAATTTGCAGCATCATTTTGGCTGACGAGACATAAGAATGAACACAAGAAAGAAGAAGAAGCAGCAGCAATAAAACATTCGAACCCTGTCGATCCCAAGCTTCCTTTCCAGTGCGAGGAATGTGGAAGGGGATTCGCCGTAGCATTCTGGCTAACAAGGCACAAAAGGGAACACGTGAGTTTATCTTCTTCAGAAAAAGAAGTAGACGAACCAGTTCCAGTAACCAAAGGTAAATCCAAGGTCTACGTGTGCGATACTTGTGGCAAAGAATTTATCTGGCCCTCTTGGTTAGTGAAGCATCGCAGGGTCCACAAGAGAAAAATCACAGAAATTAAAACATTAGAGCGTCCTTTCAAAGAGAAACGGATTAAAAAGAAGAAAGCTGTCGAGAAACAGACTCCAGTGAATTACGACGGAGTTAAAGCAAGCAAGTGTTTTGAAATGTTTGAGGAAAATGGCGTTAAACAGTACCGTTGTACGATCTGTGGAAAGGCAACTGTTTGGCACACAGGAATTGTTTATCACATCCGAGTCCATCATACCAAGGAAAAGCCATTCAAGTGTCGCGTTTGTGGAAAGGATTTTCATATGGCCGGCGATTTAACAAAACATGCACGGAGGCATTCTGGAGAAAAACCATTTTATTGTCAACATTGCAAGAAACGATTCACTACCTCACAGCAGGCAAGCAAGCATGCAGCTATCCACTCTTCTGAATTGCCTTTTCATTGTAAACATTGTGGAAAGAGGTATCGTGATCGTAGTTCCGTGTGGCGACACATTGCGAAAAAATCATGTCCCGGCGCCCAAGGACTTGCATCAACCACCCCTAAGGTCCATTCCAAAGAGCAGCATTCTCCAAAAACTCCTATCGTTGAGAAAAAGAATGCTACGTCGAAAAAGCAACAGATAGAAGAGCCAAAGCCCCGTAATCAGCCTCGTGCACAAAAGAAACCCCTTGCACAACTTGCTAAATCGGTTCAGAGCGGCAAGAWAAATGTTACAAACAAGAAGAAAACCAAGAAAGTTTCACATGACTGCAAAAACTGTAACAAGACATTTGGCCAGCTCGATGAATTTAAAGCTCATATAGAAAGCTACGCTAAAGCTGGTCAGATMGTTTGTGAATATTGTGGCAAATGCTGGGCAAGAACCGCTGATCTTACCAGACATCTGCGAGTACACACAGGAGAACGACCCTATCTTTGCCCAGACTGTGGTCTGGGTTTCAAGGTGTCCGACGCTTTGAAACGCCATATGTTGAAGTTACATCCCAAGTCAACCAAAACTATGATAAGGATAAAAACTGAACCATCAAAGACTGAAGTCGTTGACCACAACATGCTTCACGGCAACGCCACGGATAACAAAAAGGCTAAACAAATCTCTGAGAATGATTATCAGAATCATCCATCCTCAGGTGGAAGAAAGCGTGCACAAGAGAAAAAAACTGTTAACGCCGTGATAAAAAATACCGACGGAAATCTTCAAAACAACTCCGGAAAGCCTTCATCGGAACGAACTAGTTTGAACGACTCTGGACGTAAAAGGCGCGCTCGTCCTAAACATGCTGACAATCTTTTGGGGACCAGTTTTCCAGAATACATCAAAAGCCATGTTAAAAGTAATTCTTTAAAAGAATGTAAAACAAATGAAAATACTAAAGAAGGTGCTGAGCCAAAACAAAGTGAAGATTTAGTTGAAAGTTCTGGAAAACAACTTCAAATTAACGAGTGCGAGACATTTCCTTCCAATGACGGGGCTGCCTTGGATAACAGGGAACATGATAAGTCGAGCCAAATGAACGAGAGCTTGATAGATATTTCCGTAGAATATCCTGAAGGAGATTCTAAACAGCTTTTGTCAGAAACTTTCAACACCTCAAAGAATGTGGAACGCGATCAAGAAGATAATAGTGAAGATGGCTCATCCCACCCTCTTGAAGAACATCGTGAGGGCGTATCTGAGGAGCGTCCCCCTGGAGCATCAGTTGGTAAAGCATTTGAAAAGAAAAATAGGAAAGACATTCATTCCTATCAAAAGCAAGTCAATACTGACAACCAAATAAATGTGGCCAAGAAAGAGAAAAGTGAAGAGCCCAAGGATCGACCACCTGTAACTAAAAATAAGCGTTCTGGTAAGAGTTCTTGCAGCAACAAAGGTCGCAGGTGYGAGTTTTGTGGAAAAGTATTCTCAGCAGCTGGTAACCTTGCACGTCATGTTCGACTTCATACCGGTGAAAAGCCCTTTCAGTGTAAAGAATGTGGAGAGTCCTTTATGCGTACGGATATCTTGTCTCAACATATGGTGAAGTACCATACGTAGAAAGGATGCCATGGTAATCTAGATTCTTATATTGGTAATTTGTATTCATTGACAAGAGCTACTAGTTGTAATCACTTGATTCTTGGTGAAGCAAGATCTCCAAAGTCCTAGTACCAAAGTCTTGTTGCGTTCGGATTATCCATATTTCAGGACACGTGCAATGGACTTAGTTAAGAAACTCATCGCTGAAGCAAAATATCTTAGATAGATTCCACTGCTGTTATGTACAGGAACATTCATTGAAGTTCAAGTTGGAGGAAAGAACAAATATATCAACTTCTTTAAAGAACTTAATTGTTTTAATCTTCAAGTTAAGGACGGGAAATTGTTAAAAAGGTTTAAAATATTTGTTAAACTTAAAACGAGTCCAAMTCATCTACTCCTTATACCCCAAATTCAAAAAGTATATAAATACTTTTTTAAATTGTYGGGTTGAAAAGTTAAATCTTCGAAGGGAAGACCAAGCGGTGTTCTGGGCAGTCGACTATCGTTGGCATTTGGAAAGCGTTTGCTTTGTTTGCATAAAGATACATGCTTTGTTCTGTGACCCTTAACCAAAGCCTCATTAACTGTTTACTCCGAACACCCTTTGATCTTAACTCCGATGATTAAACCTTACTTTTTCAATAGATCTTTTTCGAGTTCCAAATTTTTTCAACAAAAATTGTTACCAAGTTGTTCTAGGATAGGTAACGAGACTGCATGTTACAAGCTAGTTTTCTCCTTGTTTACGGTTTTTTTTTCAACGAAAAAATAGCTACCAAATACATATGTGTATATATAGCCAAATTGAAAGTTTTAGGATTCGATTTACATAAAACTCATGAATAATTAAGCGTCATCATACACGTCACATATATGGACCCCCCTACACGAAWAAGTGCTCTTCATCAGCTTATTTTAGGCTAATATTAGGCGACTTATGATTTGCAAAATCTGCGACGGCGACGTTAACCGGAAGTGWAAATAATTTCTCTGGGAATTTCATTCAAAACATTGTCAGTKAAGTCAACTCATCCACAAGGAAAAACCAAATTTGAAGGCGCGAAACCYAAATGTTTTTTACACTTCCGGTTGACGTCGCCGTCGTAAATACTTTCCTCATTTAAGATCAGACCCATGATATCTTGCCGACTAGTCCTGTCTTGAGATTGTCATGCTATCTTCAACTTGTGCGAGCTTTTTGGGGATGTGTATATCATTATATGTTGTGACATAAATTTTGTGACTTTGTCAAGAAAACTCAAATGATATAGCAGCAGGTACACTTAATGTGAGAGAATGCAATGTTGAAGGAATTTTTTCTTTGTAGTTTTGGCAGTAAAACAATTGCCGCCTTGCTCGTTAATTTTAGTAGTGTTGATGGTCATCTATTTCTTTTGTTCTTCTGTCACAAGCTTTTGAGATATGAGCATCAGCGGTATTACAATTTAAAAGTATCATGGTTCCCGTAATCTAGCTGTTTTAATGAGGAAAAATCTGAAAATCCATAGCAGTTGTTCGTAATCGTCATAAAACGTTTTTCGATAAGAGGAAGAGTGATAATCAGTAAGTATCACAYTTAGTATTTAGATTATCATTACTATCTATAAAATTAAGGTAATARAATAAATCAATTGAAAATAAGAACTTTATTCAGTTTCAAAAACGTCCAGTTTTTATTAATAACGACAAGTTCTTAGAATGCAGCCATTTGTTAGAGGAGGATTGGGAGGGGATGGGATGGGGGGAGGGCTTGTGCAAATAGGGAGAGGGTCCGAATAAACTGACTSCAAAAAAATGCGCAATCATCTTTGGGGGGGTCATGTGTTTTTGTGCATTTTATTGTCATAATTATAAGTAATAGCATGACCTGAGGGTGATTAGGCTTGTTCACTTTTCAAGTCACATTCTTATATGAAGCAGTACGTTGTTGTCCACTAATTTTGAATGTATACGGTTATATTAATCCAAAAAAAAAAAATCGTACAATCGTTTCTCTGGAATAAARCCATTGGTCACTTTGGAAACGAGCAAGAGAGCGGGGCGAATTTCGAATTTTAATCTTATTAGGAAAAAGCCTTTTTCCATTTCAGTCGATATCTCAAAAGCAGTAATAATGGATGATCAAACTTTTTTGCTAATTAGATTAAAATTCAAAACTCGCCCAGTTTCTTTTCCAGTGGCCAATTTAGATATTTGACAAGACCACATTGAATTATCGTAAAGTTTTTAATTGGTAGGCCACTTTATATAAAGCTAAGTAAATAGCTGTAGGACAAAAGATAGCTTCAGCTGCAAGAAATCCAAATGTTGAGAGAAAATACAAAGGGACATTTACATTCTCGTCAGTTTTACTCATTAGCCAAATGGTAGGGTCTGGGAAACCATACTGACTGGAAGCCAGAATCTTGTGACCCTATCGTCAGAGTGCATGCTGTATCTCAAAATCGCTGACTATAAATGTCGACTTGTTTGTCGATTTGGCTTACTTGGTTTCCGTTGGTATATTCGTTTGTTCATTCTATTGACCAATCAGACTTCGCTGTTATTTTCAACAGCCTATGAAATTCAATAGAGTTTTAGGGTTGCGCAGAGCCTACTGTTTTCGTTATAAGTAGGCTGTTAGTAGTACGAAAATGGGGGCATTTAGCCACATTTGGAGACATCAGGAAAAGGGGACTGGATCCTAACATGTTTTATTTTATTACAAATTATGTTAGAAATCAAACAATTAGCGACTAAAAGCCAGGGGAACAGATTCTGACTACTGCTATCAGTTTTGACAAATGTCCGCCAATATATGAATTTATTTGACTTGTTTAAAGGAAATCGGTGCCAGTCCCCTGCGCATGATCGCTGGTTCTTCACAGTCCTTATATAATACTTGTTAGATTTCATTAAGGTTTATTTGCAGCCCCCAAAATGAGTTCAGTTGATTAATAACGGTAATAATGATAATATAAAAATGATAATAACGGTAAATAAATATTGTATAAGTCGAAAGAGCAAAACTAGAAATATGTGAATATATTAAACAGAATATTACATGGGCGCTTGGAGATACCAAATTTATCTTCTCGTGTTGAAAATCTCTCACGAGTRTAGCTCACTCGACTTGCGACTTGCGCCCCCTGCGTATTTACAGCAATTATTTCTTGGACTATTGCCACGTACTTGATAAAAGCTGCACAGTTTGGGTATGCTGCTAGCTTATGATTATACTCGTGTTGCAAGTGACAACCAAAATGCCACGCAATGTTTTACACAGTAGCTTCGTAAGACTGTATGTCGTAAGTGGATGGTTCACCGTTTTTCGGGTTCAGTCTTTTCGTCATTCGGGTCCACTGTTTTGGCATTTTWGGAGGTTGGATGACCTCGGCAGAGGTGGRCTSTTCTTCGGGTTCTTGCTTCTTCACAAARATGTCGGTGCATACACGATTGAGCCTCAAGCTGAATGCTTCCAAATATCCCTTAGGACCCTATATGATATAATCGCAATTCAATTATTTTTTTCAGGATAGTCAAATTTGCGCGGGAAACTGGTTACCTCTTATTAAAGGAGTCAGTGGAGGGGTAAACTATATCTTGGGGGATTTCCTTGCATTTTTAAACTGAAAAAATAGATTATGAGTCGCTGTTGGAGTGTTCCCGATTGTGCTAGTAAGCCTGGGCCAGGCATGTGCTGTTTTTTTTTTTTTTTTTTGCCATCGTTTTTCACAAATTAAAATTCGTAAGAATATCTAACAGATTAAAGACGGATCAAGAGGTTCCGAAACGAAAAAAAAAATTAAAAGATTTAAACTTTTATTATAATCTAACATCAGTCGTTTGCATGTAGTCGACAATAACATTTCATTGTCATTTAATGACGCTTTTAGGATAAAAAAAAAAGCTCTTTTCGACAGACGAAAGTACAACGACAAAATGGCCTATCGACGTACATATAGTAGCATCCCAAGCATATATCATGTTATATCATACCTGCTTTGTAGCGACATCACGTATACATGCGTATACCCACTCGATGATCATGAATATGAATCCCAARGCGATGCCAATACCCATGAATATGAACACTCCGAGCATGTCGTACAAGCCTATTCTTTGTATAAACGCTGATTCTAATTGAAAAGAAAGCTCTGATAAATATATACCATTTCATTCAACGTCAGTCTTCTCTTGAGACAATAAGATTTTCTAAAGCGCAACCGTTACACGAAAGACGAATGCTGTAGGAAATGACATTTATTTGGTCTGAGATGGGAAAACAATGTTAACTAGAGATTACCACATGTTATTTAAGAGCTTGACATCGTTTCTCTTTTGCGTGTTTGCGTATCATAACTTGAACAAGTGAGTCTTCGAGTGCGAAACTGAGAAAACTGAGATTACATGAAGCTTCCAAAAATTGACCAATAAAAAAAATCAATAACATACTTGCCATTGGAAAGAAAATATAAAAATCTTTTATTATTGTAAGAATGGTGTTATCAAGCGCTTATTAGCAACGTTTTTTTTTATTTTATATTTTTATTTGGTAGCTAGGAAATCCATAATTTCAAGAGGAAARATGACATCTCGGTTTTGCAATCACTAGTTTTTTTCGATTCTGATTGGCTAATACTTTTTTTCGATCACAACCTTGAAAAAAGCTGTCATGTAGTTTTGGCATTGTTAAATTAGCATTTTGATCAAATTTCTTCATTGTTTTTTATTATCATTATTATTATTATTATTATTATTATTATTATTATTATTATTATTATTATTATTATTATTATTATTATTATTATTATTATTATTATTATGGACATTATCTTGTTCTTGAAGAAAACAAAATATTAAAGTTGATTTTTCCTTATTTTATTTTCACCTTTCAGTTTCATTTAAATTRGGTTCCCTGTGTTTAAAACAATGGGAACATTCCGTGTTTAGGAAGTGCCTAAATTTATGTATTATACTCATTATTGATCGTTATAGATGACTGTCACACTAGTATTTCTACTGTATGTAACTTGTCAAAGACAACAAAAAGCGATTGAAGTATCTTAGAGTCATTCGAAAAGGAACATTAGAGTGGCCGGTCAAAAACAGAGTCAATAATTACTAGGGGATTCTGAAACGAAGCCAGTGATTGGTTYATTTCTTCCGAAGGCTAGATATCGATTTTCGTGGCTTTTCGATGGGATCCGACGATTTTATCCGATTGTGACGTCATCAGACGAATTCCTCCGATTTTACTGAGAGTGAACGGAAAAGAGTTAACCGACGGCGAGAATGCTTTATACCCACCTCCTTTGGCGTTCTGTGATTTGATATTCATGTTATCAATCATCTTACAAGTTTCTTTTGATGACCATTTGTGCTTTAGTGAATCCATAATCATATCTCGCTGTAGCCTGAATATCTCCATATTGAAGAGATTGGTGGTGGGGGAGTTGAGTGGGAGAGCAAAACCATACCCATAGGTGGTTCCAAACCTGGAACAGTTAGAAAAAGCATCCACATCACAAAATAGACTCCTTTGACTATACCTGTTGACAAGGCCTAAAATCATAGAGTAATAACCTCATCAAAAYAGCCGCCATCTCGAAATGCAATCCATCAAACATGCTACTTTCTTTCAAAGCATGATAAACACCTGCAGCTCTTTCTATGTTGCTGCGTCCTCGCCTTAGTTAGAATACTTTGTTAGTTTCTGGCTATAAAGTAACTGCAAGTTGGATTGAATGAGGTTTACATTATGTTGCGCACTTCGGGCTGGCAACCAGCAGGTATATGCTGCATGGACATAACTCATTGTATTTTTCATTTTCGCTTGTTTCGCTTCAGAAGCACCGCAACATAAAAAATATATACCGGTCACCACCCTGATCAGCCTGGATTCCGGCTGGGTCATAAATGGTACGTAGAATCTACATAGCACTCAGTCGATGTAATGTATTCAGAAAATATATTGTATTCTATTGTCGTTATATCCATTGAATTAAGAATGATTCATTTTATTTTTATGAAAACATTATATCAACTGCTTGCTAATTAGGGTCTCCCCGTCGTGAATAGGAAAAACATAAAATACAGCTTCACTTTCGTACAGCCTTGGATACTTTTCAAGATGGCGGCAGAATTTGGAATGTTGATTGTTGGAATGTCAGTTCAATTTCCCGATTAGAACGTACGTTAGTTTGGTCTTTTTGCACACTCTTCGTTTTCCTCGTTTCTTGGTTGCATGTGATAGACTTTGGTTCTCCTCTGAAAAGTGGCACGTAGGCAGTAAGTAGAAACATTATTATATGACGTCATAATATCGTTAGTAGTTTTTCGTAATCCAGTTTTTTCTTTGTGGCCGYCACTTTGAAAAGTAATTTTTCCAGAACATGAAAGTGAGGCTGATCGCTGCTAGAATGCCTTCATAGCCGAGAAAAATGGCAGCCACAAAGGCTAGAGTAAAACATTTTACGATCACATTAAGTTGCTGGCATCTCGTAAGCGATCGTCTTCATTTTTTTATGAATGGTCGCTTTCTAGAGGTTAAGGCGGCGTAATGAAGGATCTAAAGTTGTCTCATACAACAAATAATTAATTACCCTCCGATGACTTTAAGCTTTCCGCAATATTCCTTTTGCCTTGCAATGTACTCGAGAATAGGTCTGTCGGCAATAAATGCAAAGTTACTGTTCATCACGCGGTCAATAGCAGCTTGGATAGTCGGCATCCATGTTTTTCTCTGTTCCATAAACTGTCCCATAACAAGAAACCTAGTAGTGTTCATGTACGTATAATCAGTTGCGTGGCCCATTGCTATTTGTAATTGTTTTAAAGCGAACCCTGAAAGGTGTTAGGTGTCAATCACTGGGCTGATCTGCGTCAACTTAAAGATGGAATGTTGGTTTTGCGGTAAGAAGAATATCCAGAGAAAATATCCTTGAATCTAGGAAGCCAAACAAATTTTACTAAAATGTGCTGCCTAGTCCAGGGATCGAGCACAAGWTCGTGAGGTGAGTGCACTACCACGTCCTAAATGCCACCCTTCACTCCTAACATCATCACAAGCACAAACCTTTATGATACTTAAAGTAGTATACTAGTATTCAAAAGATCAAAATTACCTGGGTACATCGGTGTCCAGGAAAAATTTCTGTAGCTGTGAGTTCACGAGGGTGCCATACTGAATCTTTGTCTGGAGCGCCAAATCCTCCACTGTTTCAATAGGAGTTTGCATTCTTGACACCGTCAAATACGCAGCTAAATTTGCAGTATAGGTAGCATTCATGATCAATATTGCAAACCAGAACACAGATACCGCAATTTTGCCCGATAGAGATGCCGGGTGCTGACCACCTTGGCTCAAATAACACAGCCATGAAGACCAAATGGCGTTCACAAAACTAAGGGTGTTTTTGGTTGCTTTGATTTTGGGCTTAACCTGCATAGAACAATGAAATGTCAAGATATACCTTTAATATAATGTGTTTCCAAAATCACGAGTGGCTTACAAAAAGTAAACGTATAGTTTTACCCTGGCGTAGTAGCTTTAAGGGCATTATCTGGCGCCGCAGGAAAACTGAAAAGCCCGGAAAAACCTCGAATTAGAGTAAAAGGAACAAATAAAAATGCCTATCCATGGGATTGACCTGGTCTTCACACTACATCTCTACCTTAACAATATTCAATCCTCAAGAGAAAGGATTATTTTGTTTTGATCCTCAGATATGTAATTAATGGAAAGGGTCTATAGAGTAGACAAAGAGCGACCTCCTGCTTACCGGTATTGCATACTATACTGCCGTGACAGCCTTGTTATTTAATGAGCATGCTCTTACCTTTAATTTGTTTGGATGTTGGGAATATCTTCCATAATAGCCAAAAGGACTTAAGATACTAAAATTCCACAAAAATATTCCCATTGTCAAAACCATACCACATATTGCTATCCACAGATTCCTGTAGAAAAGAAATTATTTATGTGATATATATACAGGCAGCTAGTGCATGGATGACGGAGAGGGAGCATTGTGGGATTAAGACAAGTAAAGTAGTGAATGGTACTAAGAAGATTGGATATATGATCCCCCCTAGTTTACGGCCATCCATTCATCCATCCCTCCCTCCCTCCCTCCTTCCCTCCATCCATCCATCCATCCATCCATCCGTCCGTCCTTCCGTCCATCGTATTTATTGATGCTCTCAAAGACAATGAATACATACGTGTGATATGGCTTTAGAAACCTGAAGTAGTTTTCCTCGACTTCGTTTACCCGCATAATGAATGCGATACCAAACGTCATATACGGGTGTGTAAAATCCACCACATTCTGCCCGTCAGAGTTGATAGTCAATGGTGCGATACTTAGCTTTGCTTTCTACAAAAATAACAATGCATAAATAAGCGCTATCTTACAACCGTCTTAGATAATAGCATTTCACACCCATAAKAATGCTTAAATGTCACATCATGGAATCACACACCAATTGACTGAGTGAGGGTGAATGACAAACTAATTTTATTATGATACCCTGTACACTGTATTAAATMTCTAGAGAAGTAACGAAATCTGAAATCTGTCTGTGAGAATCGGAAGGTAYTTGAAGTTATAGTGACCGCTGTTAGACAGTTAATGAATGGACGATTAATAAAGGCAGGAGAGATTGTGCGGGTGGGTGGGTGAGGAAAAAAGGAGTCTGTGAGCGAATGAGCATCTTACCCCATCTATGATCTCACGCATAACACCATTCCATTTCCCAGTTAATCGATCTTTACTTCCAAACACTCCATCAGGAGCCAGCGAAATCTTGTATCGAAATCCAAGCTCTTTCCTCATATATTCCAGCAGATCGATGCTCAAACCTTCGTACTCTGCGGTTTTGTTGTCACTCGAACTCTTCTTCATGACAAAAGGTGGCGCCTAGATCAGAACAGTATACGTCATTGATAAYAACTTTCTTGTCATACTTGGTCAGTAATTATAATAATGAACGAGAATTAATTGGCAAAAGTGTGTTTTTGTTTGTTTTGTTTTGTTTTGTTTTTTTGTTATTTTCTTTTTTCTTTCTAGTTTCTTTTTTATAATGCTGCAACATTATTTGTAGCCAATTTTGTATGTATACAATTATATAATGTGACTATATTCTTGTCAGCTGCCTAATATATTCAACCATTGTGTTTGGTAGTTACATTATTCGGTTATCCATAACCATGGCAAGTTAAAATGTTTGATTAATATTAGGTTAGCTGATAACCATATGTTATATTTATCATGAAATAAATATGTTTAGTTTACCAAGACTGCCACCACGTTGATAGTTTTATTCTTGAGAAGGTTTGGGATATCGAAAGGGACCTTCGTTTTCCCAGACATCCAAACTGCTCTAGTGCCGTTAATTTGTCTTAGCTTGTTAGCTGTGTCCCACTCTGCAAGCTGCAAAAATGAAAAAAGGTAGCTTCAAAAAGACATTGCAAGATTTCCCTGCTGAATGGAAACGTAGGCTGGCGGGAAGCCATGGTAGATGAGAGGATTGAGAGTATACGAGCACGAAAGAGAAACAACTTGTTGGATGGCAGGTTTAACATGCAGCCATATTGGATGACTTTGATGAGGGCAGCCTTGTTGGATTAATGATGTAAAGGGTAGCCATGTTGGAAATGGTGTAGGGGGTAGCCATGTTGCTTTTAAAAAGAGTGCAAGGGATATATGATGAATAGTGTAACGGAATCTATGCATGCTCTACGAATGGTGTAGGGGCTATTACTTACTTTCACAGAGCCAGATTTTCKTAAATTCACTATATCAAAGCTGGCACATCTTGGTTCGCCTGTCTCTTCAAAGCCTAAGTCAGACATTGCACCTTGGATGGTCGTCTGGCACAAATAGATACGAGAGTTKAACAACATATACACCTTTTGCTGTTCATTAACGGCAAAGGAATATTCATTGCAGCGAAGAAGCATTGTCATTAGAGCGAACAGGCATACAATAAGGCGAACGGACTCTCAAGAGTGCGATGGATCTTTCATTAAGAATTTGCCAATCATGAATATGTTTGCGTAAGTTCATTAACGTTTTCAAACTTTCATTAGCGTTTTGGTGCAGACAATAAACCACAACACGCATTCAATACAGTGATTTGGACATTTATTTATGCAATACAATATAAGTATATTTTCCACTAGGAATTGTAGGATTTTAACTGTTTTCCTTTTTTTTTACAAGCCGTGAATATGATTTCGTACAAGCAAAGCGCCGTTAGGTATAAATATCAAATCAGTTCTGAGTTTCTTAATCCCTCTCTTTTGGATATTGCAATGGCTCAACAAAGAAACCAAATTTCAAATGAAGTCATATAGCGTCTTGTGAGGGCCTATGAAGATCCACAGAAATGCATACAATGGTACAACCACATGCAAACATATCGTCCAAGATGTTTAAATAGAGAAGACGTTCAAGGATAAGTTCACTTTTTTGTTTTTGAAAATCTACAATCGTAAAAGCACAATATACTTATATTGTATTGCGTAAATAAATGTCCAAAACGTTGTATTGAATGTGTGTTGTGGTTTATTGTCTGCACCAAAACGCTAATGAAAGTTYGAAAACGTTAATGAAYCCACGCAAACATATTCATGATTGGCAAATTCAATGCTAAATTTCTTAATGAAAGTTCCATCGCACTCTTGAGAGTCCGTTCGCCTTATTGTATGCCTGTTCGCTCTAATGACAATACTTCTTCGCTTCAATGAATATTCCTTTGCGGTTAATGAACAGCAAAAGGCGTAWTAAAWTTTGACTTTTAGACATTCATACTCCAATTTAGAATTCTCTGTTGCTCAGGATTAACCTCAATTTCATGTAAAATATTCAAGTATTCCGGCGAGAGTCCGCGGAAATTCTAGTGTTTCTATTCATCATCATCATTTGGTGTTTCTATTGTTGAAGTTTTACATTCTTTACTTTTCCATTGGCTTTTGTCAACATTTTGATGCTGAAATGAGGCTAACCCTTAGTTAATGTGTAAACAGAAAAATAGGAGCGTTATTTTAAGAACTAAAAAAATCTTTTTATTTATTTATTTTTTCTTTTGGCTTCAGTATGAATTCTCCATTAACCTTTTAACTTTGAACTTTAAAAATATAACCCATTTATTGTTCACCTTTTTGATAYTTTGAAAGAGTTCCCTCCCTCCTTTTCTGGGCTCGTTCTCATTGTGACACAGTCCTTTTGGTATCTGTGAAGATGACAGTTGGATTCCTTGATTCAGTGTATCTTGAATTCCTTTCGCYGTTATGAGAACTGAATCATACACGTGACCAGCAGCTGCCTAAATAATAATATTTTTATATTCAACATGTATAGTATATATCTCTTTCAAAATCATATTTATTGCCAGACTAATAGGAAATCTTACTCTCACATCCAAGATGATCTTCAGCCGAAGGCCCACGCCTGTTAATGATAGTCATTATTATAAATACACAGGTGATTATTAAAAATCTCTCGCGCTGATTGGTCGAGAAACTTAAATTATCACACGATAATCACCTTCAGCGATAATCCAAAATGTTACCGGGAAAAATGTGCATTTTATCTTTTTTCTTCCCTTTTTTGGAAGAATCACCTTGGTATTTATACTAAAACAATTATTCACCTCAGGCTCAGTGAATATCGGGAATATTAACCTCAACTTCGTTTCGGTCATTATTCCCCGACATTCACTTCGCCTTCGGCGAATAATTGTTAATTATTATTATTAACAGGCGAGTTATCAATTGACACTAAAATCATCAAAGCTCGTGCAATTTAATATTCGGAACAGAAATCATTGATASAAAAAGACGTGTATAAGTACCAAAAGATGATCCCCTGAAATATAAGCTACTTTTGCGTGATTATACTAGTTGAAACAATAGACAAATAGCACATACATATGGTATGATCTTCAGAATTATACGATTCTTCGTTTTTGACTCTTCGTCAAGTCCTAACAATAATATAAATTTAATTATGTTAATTAGCCGCGCCCTAGCTTAATCAACCCAGAGGTCGTTTCAGGGTATCGAAATTCAATCAACTGATTGCAAACAAACCATCTTTACCCTTACTCACCGTGATGTCAGTCGTTATATTCAATTTGTCAATCTTCTTATGAAAGTTGTCCTTCAAATCATTAAATGCAGCTCCTTTGCCTATTGAGGCCCTCATACCAATCACGCCTCTCATGTAAGTAGGAACAGCTCCTGTTGAGCCAGTTAACTCGACCTGCCAATGTATAAAGCAGCTGGTCATATTCGTAATATGTCACGTGACCCTAGCCCCTTTAAACGAAGTAGTTATGCCTCACAAAACCGCAAGCATGAAAATATCTACGGYCTCGAATTGTTAAGAAAGCGAAGTTTAATTCCATAACAAAGAATCAATCAATAAACAGTAAACCACGCTAGAATTTGAATGGAATTAAAAATTGCCGCCAAATGGATTACAAGCACTTCCCATCCAATGCA